GCACTACGGCAAGTTGCTTTTGCTGTGTGTGTGTGTGTGTGTTAAGTTTCAAGATTGTACATGCCATTATCCCCATCTGATCCTGCAGTCTCTTTTCTATAGCAGCAGGTGAAAGATCACAAGCAGAGCAAGAAAAAGATGGCTTTCTCCTTGTCCGATATTACATTTATCTGAAGTCTCTCTCATCTCCAAGCAGCTTTGCCTCTGCAGCTTTGATCCACCCCCCCACCCCACATTCCTTTTCTATAGATTACCTAAGCATCTGGTAGCAGAGTTCAGCAAGTTGCAAGCTTCCCCATCTTCCATTCCTGGGGGGTATTCTCCATATCACTTGCTGCTAGCTTTCGTCTGGAATATCAGTCCCCTGAGAATTAAAACTGACAGTTTTGCAGGCACTAAAAAATAAATGCCACCAGAATCGTTGCTCAGTTGCATCTTTATTCATGTATTTATACGCTAGGGCAGTGACAGTTTTATTTCTTCTAAGGTTTTCTTCTTCTTCCCCTGCTTCACATTTAGGGAGCCATAATCCCCAAGGAGGGATGCTAAGGTTATTAGCGTGTTTATGCAGAACCACACTTTCCCCAAAGCCCACATAGAAATAACTAGCAAATGGCAACTGGAATGCTAACTGCGCAAAAGACGACATTCTTTCATCTTACTCCCCGAAGATTCGTTAGGCTGTTTACACTGCAGATTAATGTAAGAAATTAATGACGTCTTGGGGGGAAAGAAAAGGCCACTTGCCTAATTATTTAGGCTTTGCTCACTTACGCATGGTTTGCCTGTTGTCTTAGTTCAGGATGGTGCTTCTTTGGATTTCTATTCTAAAACATCAGCGTGTGTCATCATAAACCTAGCCCATGGCTCAAAGATGTGTGGGGTACCAGCCTCTTTGCATGCTTGTACCATCTACTCCTCATCTCTGGATTAACCAGTATCTTTGAGCCATCTTTGGATTAACCAAAGTGGTGCAGTCAGTGGAAGAACTGACTGCACCACTTCAGCTTGTAGCACTTTGGAGTGTTGTGATGGATGAAAGCAGCACCACCTCCCCTGTCGATAGAAAAGTGGGAAGGAGGTGTGGTGGGGAGACACATTTTTCACCATGTGTGTTTCCTGTTCTTCTAGTTTGGTACTTGCAAAGCTCCTCCCCACACACTCCCCACACACCCCATGGAACAGACAACAGGGAGGCAGCAGAAGTCTCTCTCTCTCTCTCTCTCTCTCTCTCTCTCTCTCTCTCACCCACCCACCCACCCGCCCACCCACACCATTGCCACACTACTTTCACTCCCTGCAGATGCACAATCATAGGCACTCCATGCAACCTGGCAGAACAATCATTCAGGAGGCCCACCCACATGGAGCATCCACTGCAGAAGGGGCATATGCCCTCCTTTCCAGACATCATGCCCAATGCATGGAACCTGGAGGACTGGAAGGGGAGAACAGCACAGCAATAGTGGGGTATAATCCCACCTTCTCTCCTTGTTATTGAATGCATGATGCACACGTGGAAATGGCTTGTACAAACAGCTGATTGCAGACTGCATACTATCAGGGCAGAAGTGGCGCCTGGTGCCCATCAGGGTTGGTGAGGCAGGGAGACCAGCTCACAACTGGAGGGGAAGGAACAGTCTCGCCTTTCCCCATGTTAGTGTTGTTTTTTCTCACTTTAGCTGTTTTTCAGCATCTAAATCACAACACACACACCCTGTGCTATCGGCTGAGAAGTGCTTAAGGTCAGTGGAACTGGCATTTGTGCGTGTGTGTGTACATGCATGTGTATGCACACCCTGTCTTGGGAGTCTTGAGAGAGGGTATTTTTCTGGATCAGAGCTGAGCCAAGCCTGTGCACAGACAAGCGGAGAGAAATGAATCCTCAAGCCCAAGGCAGTAGAGGAAGTCACAGGCATCAAGCTGAAACTGGCTACTTGCAAGTGACTTGTGATACACAACTGGCCAAGAAGTCCGTCTGGGGTCTGAGGGATGGCAGAGAGTGTTTCGGCTCTGACAAGTGGGCAGTCACAACCCTGCTTGCTGTCCTCTCTGTGCTCCATCTTTCAAAGTACGCCAACTGGGTAGAATGGGCCAAGGTGAATTATCATCTTCCACTGGTTTTGTTTCCTCAGATTGGTCTCTTTTTGTCCTCTGTTCCTTCACCTGCTAAACCAGTGTGTGACAGGTTGCTGTTAAAGCAGAGGCACAGAGCCAGTGGCAAATCAAGCCAGGTGAACTTCATGGGACATGGGCTTAATGCCAGCAAAGTGCTGCTGTTTGTCAAAGCTGTGGTTGAGATTTCATCACTTCCAGCATTCATGGCATCACCTATGATTGAAATTGCCGGCTTTTTTGTTATTGCACCAAGCATTGTTCTGAAGAGTCTATGTTACTCAGAACAGCCTTGATCTAAATTTAGTCTTATCCCTTAGAAAGCAGAAGCACCATTTCAAAAGCCAGTATTAACAGAGATCTTAGAGAAAAGTCAGGCAGATTAAGAACAAGATTAAAAATGTATCTCCTAGACATGTGGTCAAGACCTGAGCTTATAACTGACCAGCTATTTTTTACCTGCCCAACCTATCTTGAAGAACTGAGGGTGAAATGTTGGATGGAGTTAGGCATGGCTCCATGACTTTCTTGTATTCAGAAAGATGGGAGCTCATTTGCTTTTACCACATTTTCTTGCCATTGGCTGGCTTTGTGTAGCACATCTAGCAGGGTATCCCCATTTTATACCATCCCATTATCCTTCCCCTCCAAAGCCACTTCTCCTCTAGGTGTGCCAAACAAGCTGAAGAAAGAGAAGCAGGCTGCCCATGCTAAAGATAGCTTATGGCTTACATGTGCATTTTGTAATGCACGATGCAGTCAACCACTGTGCAATAAAGACTGAGGACTAAAACAGTGCAATTCCCCCCCACCCCAAAAGATCACAGCTGTATTGATGCCAATCTGTCCTGCAGTCGTATCATTTTTGCTGTGCCAGGGCCATAGGGGTAAAGCACATGCCTAGCCTGTGAATTTGAAAAGCTGCTGTAAATCAGTGTGGATAACAATGACTTCATACGCTATGAGCCAGCTTTATATGCTCACAGGGGGATCATATGCTGCATTAATGTTCTCGCCATGGCTGCCAGATCAAGGCTTTTCTAAGCAATAAATAGGTCTACACAGGCATGATATTCTGTTGCCAGCTCCATCATCCCTATAAGCACTATTCTGGAAATACCCTATTTGTGAATATAGGCCTGCCAGAAACTTCCCCATGGCACTTTCCTTATCTGGAGAATCCTCACAAACTGATGAAAGGGGACAATGTCACATCCAAATGAGATGACAAGCAAGAATTAAGAAAAACATGAAAGTGAAGTGCCAGGTTCAGCTCTGGTTTCTTCAGCTTTTGTCTGCGTATCTAAGGCATAGGAATTAAGTAGCCAGAGAGAATTACAAGGCCTTTCTCGCTGCAGAGGATACAAAGAGCATCTTTTAATAATTGATTATAAGCCAAGTCTTATAACCCCATCTTCCTCCAGAGTACGACAAAATCACAATAGGGTGCCTCTTAAAGAACAAAGCCTGACAGCCAGACTGGCAGGAGCACTGAACTTGAAAATGTGTGTTCATTTCATCCACCTTTGACCTTTTAGAAATTACTATGGTAAAGCTTCCAGTATCCTTGGACTTGTTATCCAAAGTGGCATTGCATAAAAATCAATCAAGTTTTAGAATCAATTCACAGATCTGAGACATTTGATCAGCAGCTGAACTCTACAGCATACTTTAATTAAGTGTGGATTAAATGTAAGGCAGCTTTGAAGCATCTCTTAATACTGTTGGCAAAATTTCCATTTCAGGTCTACATTAGCAAATCTCAGCTTTTGAAGCTTTATTCCTGACAAAGCCCAAGTGGAAAGAGTTTGCTGCAAAAGCCACTGCTTCTTTTTATCTTTTTGCTTGTCTGAAGGGGAAATCATATCAGCTGTAAATCTGATGTACAACCCATTCACTATAGGCAAGGCTATGTAATTCTATCATCTCCTACCTCCATCTGTCAGATATGTACATAACAGTACAGAAATGGTATCTCCACAGAATTTCTGAAAAGTCTCTCTTCATTTTTCACTAAGAACAAGCTCATGGAGTTCATGGGAGGAGAAAATACACAGTTTAAGCAATGTCTCCTCAAATCAGACAAAATCAAATAGTTTTTGGTTTGGAGGTGGCAAAGCATGAAAGCTCCATGTATAGTTTTGCTGGAACATAACATAACCTTGGTAGAATAGAATGGATGTTAGGAGCCACCATAAGGTGGCTTGGTACGTGTTCAACACCGAGGATCTTGTGCAAAGCAGGTTTACCAGGATGATGGAATAGCCATGGTTCTTTATTCACACATGCTTCCTGTTCATTTCTAAAATGAGGGGTTGGGGTCCATTTTTAGCAACACATATATGGGTGCAGCTTTGCCTTCCACATATTACTTCACCATATACTTGCCTTCTTGCTCTATGCCACAAGTAAGTTGGCTCAGATACTAGAAATTGGCTGAGAAGTCCCTGAAAAGATTCTCAGCTCACTCATCCACCCATTCTTTGATGTACTAAAGTAAACTCCTCCTGCACTCCATTTTAGGCATGAATAGGGCAAGCACATGGAAAACATGTGGCCCTGGTAATATCCAGCTTGTCTCTGCAAGTGTAAATCATATTAGTCTTTAAAGATTAAAGAATTAAAGATTAAACACCGACATCCAAAAAACATGGATCTCTACCATTGTCTATTGAACCTAATTTAAAAGCCCATTGCTATAAGAGACCAAGAGGCTAATCGATGCTGGATAGGTTAAGAGCAGTAACATTTAAAAGTTGACCTTTGTTGGCCTCATTTCCAATAGTTCCCGAAATGGAATTTTATCACTGGCAGCTATTCCATAAACAGGGGTCGGACTGTTTCTATTACATAAAACAAGTAAGCAAAACAAAAACAAAGAGAAATAAGTTCCTGAGTTTTTTAATTTTTCTGATGAGTGTTACAGTCCAATCCAAAACAAAAAAACAAAGAACCTGGGGATGAAAAGAGACGGCTAAAAAGCGAGCTGGCAAATCTGCAGTGAAGTTCTAGTGACAGCATTCGAGCTCTCCCATCCCAAGTGAAGGTAAAGGAGAAGAGTAAAATTTCACACAGATGGTGGCAGTGACGTCAGTTCTTCAGACAGCTCTGCTTCCCACATATCCATTCGTAAGTGGCAGCAAGAAAATCGGACTTTCATCCTGTGACAAACAAACTCAGAAAAACAGGTTTCTCCATACTTCAATACCCCCATCCTACGATGTAGGACTCCTGCAGCCGAAGCCAGATCTGGATCAGAAATCAGAGACAGGCACTGGCTGCTGACATGGAACAGAACGAAGCTGGTGGTCTGGCTAGGAAGAACAGACAGCTAGCCCAGCCTCCAGTATTTATATCAGACCTGGCCAGTCACCCAGAGCTGTCATAGCACCAATGCTATACACTTCTTGTCACTTCCACAACTGTGGGCTGAACACCTACAAACCCCAGAGGACATACTTGGCTAGGTTACAGATTTGGATAACAGAAATTTCTTGGTTCAAGATCAACTCACTGCTAACAGATAATGTCAGGGCAGGATATTTGTGCCTTGTAATTTGCTGTTTCCCACAGCAGTTTAAATATGATGTCCTAAGGAAAAGGCTAGAACTCAAAGATCTGATGACATAATATTGGAAGTATCTCAAAGGTTATAACAACACAGGACAGACCTGTGCGGATGACTGTCAGGTCCTACCTTGGCTAAGGAAGAGGGATTATTTTCTTATGTGTTCCAGTTCTTCATTGGGAATAGGAAATTAGATCAGTTAAGATTAAGTTAATTTACATCTTATTAGCACAATATCTTATTAATTTCTTCTCATAATTTCTAGTACATACCCAGAATAGAATATTATATACATTAAGGGAGAAATCCTATGGCCCCTGAACAGCATCTGAGGGGCCACAGGATATTTCAGATTCTCAATTCCATGACTAGAGCTCTCACCTAATGCCCAATGCAGCCAGTATAGGAAAAAACACACCAGCTTCCTCTCTGAGGTTGGAAGCATGACCTCATAGAGGGATAAAAGTTGGCATAGGAACAGAAGGAGACTAAAAGGCTATCCTGAACCTCTGACAGCCTCCTTCCCTCTCTCTCCAAACACCTTCAGCAGACTGGCAAAAAAACCTATTTAGCAAAAATGCAGGGCTGGAGGAAGGGGAGGTGAATGTCATATACACCGCTATTCCTACTCTGTCAAATATGCTAGCATCTTCCAATTTTGGGGACTTATGAGTACTGAGGATATGATCCATAGGTCTGTGCCCTAAACACATTTCAAACAAGCCTCCAAATTTATATGTGGTTCATACAGGAAGCACCCCACCCCATACATTCCTTATCAACAAACCAAACAAATGCTTTAGATCTACGAAGAAAAATGTAACAGCAAATAAGAGTTCAATAGCCAGATCCCAAAGAACTCACAGGGGTTCCATGCCACATGGTAAGCTACTGTTGAAACTTAAGAGACTTTCAGAAAGATATGGAAGTTTGCTGCTTTGTTCCCAAAATCTCACAGAATATTCCTCTACCAAAATCCCTACAGTCATACCTAAAGTAGATCTTTGGATCCTGGCTGATATTTAAATATATAAAACATATGTGGACTGATTACAAATACAATCCCATCATATCCATTTAACTAGCAGTTGGACAAGGTCTTAGTAAATTGCCTTTTTCAAGATATTCACGATCTTTTCTTAGTCTCTAAAAGAATGTACTGTCCTAACACCTAAAGAGAGGTGTAAGAAGGAAGCATACAGAGAAGTAAACCAACAACAAAGAAGTCTTCAGTTGCCAACAGATACCCAAAACTAAATAAATAAGGGAGATTCAGTATATCTCTCAATAAGGTGAACCCAGCTTCTCTCCACATTTGAAAAACCAGTGATCTAAGCAGTATGCAGCAAATTTAATGCCAGTTCAGCTAAATGGCTTGCTACACACCTCAAGATTGCATTTGTTTTTCTTAAAAACATTCTTTCTCATTTTTTTATTTGAAAATGTGTTGAAAAGGAGAGGAATGTGGTCAAATAACATCACAAGAAGTCAGTCAGCACTGCACAGAAGACTTTAGCCCTAAACAGGAATAACAGATTTCTGCTGTATTTTGCCCTGATTTCTGATCTGAGAGAAGACTGTACATATGAACAAAATGTTGTAAGTGTGCTTTCACAGTTGGCTTCTGCTCAAGTTATGTGCACCTGGCACACCCTTTACGAGTCCTCATTGGTAGTTTCCATCTTGTGCTGGCTCCGAAAGTGACGCTCAAGATTGATCGTCACCTCCCTCTGCAGATTTCTGCTGCTGTTTTTCCCAGCTGTGTGGATCCATCGATGCTGCAGAATTTGCTTAGCAGTGTAACGCTTTTTGGGGTCAACGACAAGGAGTCGGCTTATCAGGTCTTTTGCCGCTATTGGGGAAAAAGCAAAATAAGTTAATATGGGAGATAAGCTGCATGTTTTGTTAATTGCACAGGTTTTGATAAGGCAGCCATTTTTCTTTATTCTTGTGTAAGCACATGTAGGCATGATGGCAGTCTAGGAAGCATTAAAGCTTCCCCCACAGTTCCCACCAAAAATTCAACCCCTTCCCCATGGAGGAGGAGGTTAAAAAAAAGCACTGGAAGTTTCTTTGAATAGCTTCTCTACTTGGGACAAACACAGAAGCAAATACTAGTTAAGAGTCAATGCAGGGTCACATTATAACACACACTGATGGGTTCATACCATCAATATATTCAACAAAAATGGTGCCTACAAACTGAACTGAATCAAGTAAGACATGCTGGGAGGGGTTTCTGTTGCTTATCACAATTTTAGGTAGATTCTTAAGACTATACTGTTTTCAGAATGTATTTCTTTCTTTCTTTCTTTCTTTTTTTTGCCTGACAAGGCAAGGAGGAATTTTCACAGAGAAATAATGCAACATGAAATACAAAGATTCTATGTATACTTTGCATACAAAAAGGTATTAAAGCCCTGCCACATGATAGACCAAATTCAATGCAATGATTTTGCTCGCATGCAATGAGTTTGGCATTACGAGGACAAGCCACAGTGAATCTTGAATGCACATGCTCTGCCATGGCAGTGAGGATATGAAGAGCCTGCTTCTATTTTAGACTAGTCAGTTTAGCTTGTCACCTCAACTATAAACTGTGGTTAATCTTAATTATGGTTAGTAAAAGTAAACCATCTCCTTAAACAATGAGATAAAGCTCTGATTTCCTCTAAGCATTATGTATACATAACATTATATACATAACACTGTTATGTAAATAACATATATAAATATGTATATGTATACATAACATTATATTCATATTATGTATATATCCTGCTTTTTCCTCTATGGATGCCAAGGTCAAGTACATGTTCATCCTTCTGTCCATTTTACCTTCGTAACAACATTGTTGATAGGTTAGGCTGAGAGTCACTGACTAGCCTGTGAGCTTCAAGGCTAAGCGGGACTAGAACCAGATCTCCCATTTCCCAGCCCAGCACTTTTAACTACTATACGACATTGCCTCTAACAATGCTAAACCAGCCTTCCTCACCCTGGTTACTCTCCTCTCAGCCCCAGCCAGCCTGGCCAATGGTCAGGAACGCTGAGAATTGTAGACCAAACTATTTGGAAGAGACCAGGGTGGAGGAATCTGTGCTAAACTGTGGTTTAACATAGAAACAGGGGGAGTCAGAAGGGGTCTCCCGGGCTATCTAGTCTGACCCCCAGCTCTAGCCAGTTCCACTCACGACATGACAACCATGTGCATGTCTATCCTATCCTTGAACACCCTTGCCCTCCAGCACCTAAAATTTTATCAGGCACTGGACATGCATTTTGAAACCTATCGTTTCAGTCTTATGGACTAGAATCTTGTCACTAAAAATTAAACTCCATCTCAAAATTCTACATGGAATACCAAATTCAAAAAAAAATGGAAGGCACACAGCCACAGCTATAAACTTCTCAGTCTGTTCATTTTAGATTGCTTACCAGCTGAAATGTTGTCCCAGTATGGTGAGAGAAATTCGTAATGCCCAAGCTGTATGATTTGAAATAGCTCCTCTTGATCTCGTTCATGACTTCGAAAGGGGGGGAAGCCACAGAGCAAAATATAGAGTATTACACCAGTAGCCCACATGTCCACTTCCAGCCCATAGCCTACAGCAAGAAAAATAAATCAAAAAATGAATATATGCAAATAATCTGGAAGGAACTTCTGCTTTTATATTGTTAACTATGGATGAAAAATTGGACTCAAGCAAAGAACTGGCAACAAGCTGACCTTGAAAATATGTTATCCTCCTCCCAGTCACCTCTGCTAAACTCACTCTGCCTTCTCTCCACCCCTGTTCCCAGGAGAAGTGTCAGTTTTCTGTTCTACAGGTGAATTTGCACATCAGGTGTACGCAGGGAGTATGCTGCTAAATCAAGGATCGTTGGGTTGAGACCTACTACTAAACCCAGTTTTAACAAAGGAATGTAAAGGCTCCAGGCTACCTAACCTCCTAACACCATGCTAAAGACATTATCATAAGAGCAAAACAGCAGTAATTTCTCAGTGCCTTCTTTCCAAATCGTATCAGGATGATGAACACTGTGTTTGTGCATGTGTTCGTTCTGCTCTCTTTCACACACGCACACGCGCGCACACATCCAGACTGCCTTAGAATATGTTCACAGACTGCCTTAGAATATGTTCACCATCTGCCAGGAGGCAATCTATTTTTTATTTATTTAGGGAACTCCTATGCCGCCCCATTCGCCAAAGCCTCAGGGCAGCTCACAAACATAAATAAATAACATCCTATAAAACAATATAATTTAACAGTATAAATTAAGTCGCCCTGGCCAAAGAATAAAATAAATAAATATTAACAATTAAAATAACGTTTAAAATTAAAATCTACACAGGTCTTGATTAGATGGAGAAGTTCCACTTGTGTCGGCACCCTATCCTTTCTTGAAACTTCACAACCCACACTTCCTCCAGCTGCCACACAATTCTCCCACGTGCACACGCATGGGAAGGGCTGTACTACCAGCTAATGAACCTCTCCTCTGTTCACATATACTTTTGCATGCCATATGGCTATTTCAAATCAAGAGCCAATGGAAGTGTAACTGACAATTTGGATTTAACAATCCAAAATTCACACTGTTGTGGTCCCCATGATATCAACCTACAAGTGTCTAGCATGGGTTTGATTTTTGCACTGCTTTTATTTCTCCTCCCCCATTCCCAGACATTTTGTTAATATTTTGCTAATCACAAAGTGAAGTATATATGAAGCAGGCCAGGCTTCAGCCCCAAATGCCAAACTATTCTTTGAAGAGTTTTTAAATTAATTAGCCCACACTCAAACTGACTCTCTACACAGACTGCATATATCCTTATGTTTCCCTACCATACTCTAACTTCACAATAGTATTCCAGGAAACTACTAAGAGATATCTAAAACATTCCCTCATTTTGCCATCTTCCCTTCCTCCAGTAGGAAAAGTATGGATTCTGGTCATCCATTCAGGTTGCCATTGGTTCTAACCCATAAAAAGGAAGGGAATAGTTAGAGGTCAGAGATGTAGCATACACACAACCTAAAGGGATCCTCTCTCTCTTAACAACAGTCTTTCACAGTCTCCAGTGCTCCAGATTGTCAGTGTACAACTCTGATCGTTCCCAGGAAGCACAACCATGCTGGCTGAGGGGGGATGGTGGGAGTTGTAGTCCAATACATTAGCATGGCACCAGGCTGTGGAAAGCTACCCTAGAATAAATATTCTCTGTACTATATAGATTCCACCTGGATAAATGCAGAGCATGGCACAACAGGAGGGAGATGATTATAGTATCTAATGAAAAATGTCATTAATTAACAAATATATCTCTAGCTATTTGCAAATTAGATACAAAGTGACTTGATGGATATAAAAGTATATTCACCATTCTCAGCAAGTATTTCAGGGGCAACGTAAGTTGGAGTTCCACACACGGTGAATATAGGTTTTTTCACCAGCTTTGCAAGGCCGAAATCTGCGAGCTTCAAGGTGGTAGTTTTATCTGGATTACGCTGTACCTGAGCAGAAAAATAAAATCCAGATCAATTTGTGCCTTTGGAGTATAAGAAAGTGAATTGCTTAGGCTTAACATGAGCAGAAGAAAAATCTGAAGCACAAAAGAGGTGGATTACAAGCTCTCCAAAATGAAGGTCCTTTATTTTTGCAAGGATTGTGTCTGAGGCTGAGCATATCATATGAAACTGGCTACCATCAATGAGTCCTTTCCTGCCAAACATTAACTGTAAAGCTGTAATGGCTAAAAAAATTTCAGCTTGCTGGGTTGAACGCTAAGTCCCTGTGCAAGTTAGTTGATTCCACAGATACCCTTATTCACTTATTTTTTACAAAAAGCCCCTTCACTGAGGATAAGCAACTACAGTTCCATTCATTCCAAGCACAGATATCAATACCTTCAATATTAATTATATGGCCACAGATTAGTGGCAATTGCATGTACTTTGCAAGTAAGAAGTCCCATGTTCGTTCTTTGCTCTCCCTAGGAAAAAGGATGTTTGTTGAAAAGATTTGCACAGGATTTTGTGGGAATTAGTTTCACTTAGAGTGGACCAGATTGGCCACTGGTTTCTGATCATTATAAAGCAAGCCCTCATTCCTAGATCTCAAATGACAGTATGATGTCCCAATCTGCACTATGAATTTACATGCATCGGCACAGGTTAGGTAGCTAGCAAGGCAGAACTGACTGCACTGAAGCACTGCAAAGACACAAGGGTCTGTGCATTCAGGCATGGCAGCAAGCTCAGGACTGTTGCTTTTCCTTCTGCTGTATCTCCTTGCAGCACAAGGTGGCAATACTACATTAGGATTATTTCAGTATGTTCAAGTAATAGAAAAAATAGGTCCTACACGCCTTTTAGTTTATTTATTTGACTTGAATTCCCCCCTCTTGGTCATCTGGACGGCTCATTACTCAACATACTACACAACAATTACATATTACACATCGGCTGGACAACCTCAAGCTTGCTTACATGAATCTCAATTCTGTTATAAATAAATTAGCTACCCGTTTCACCTTTTGCATTCTCTTTTGTACAACAGTTTTACAAAAACTATTTGCCAGCTTCTGGGAAAGGAATGCTTTCTATTTTTTTTCTTTTAAAAACTATTAGTGAGTCTAAGTGGACGAAACATGGATTTTGCTGTTCCACACAGCCTTCCCTCAACTAAAGGTCCTCCTTTTTTTGATAACTGTAACTATCATCAATGCTGACTGTCAGGCATTTGGCTGATCAGGCTGCAGTCCAGAATACCTGGGGAGCACCAGGTTGGCCACCACTGCCCTTTGGCCAGATGAAAGATACTCAATCAGTGCAGCCTGTCCAGATTCTTAGATGGACCACCATCATACTGATTTTACAGAAAAGTCACCAATTTCATATATTACAACACAGCCTGCAGTAATGTTTGCCTCCCTGTACAAATGAACATGAAAACATATGCCTTTGTCCTACATAAGGAGAGAAATCCTATCCTCTTCTATAACCTGTGACCACTCCTTGGTAATATTGCAAGGGCAAGAAGCAACTTATCTGGAGCCACTCTGTGTCTAAAAGAGCAAAACAGCAACTCGCAGATTGGAAAAAGGACTCTTTACATCACTGTTTTTCCAGTAATGTCCTCCAACAAAAGATTCAAACAAGACAAAATGCCAATACCACCTGTCTGCAAGACTGCAGGAACAGTTTAGATGACATTAGATGTAGTGGAAATTCTGGAATCCAGATGTCCTGCAATGTTTTAATCCTTGGTTTAGTTGCTGTATAAATAACACTTGGGTTATTTACTGTACAGGTGCTTTTTGTTTTAAATATTCTATATAATGTATGTACTTTTCTGAATATTGCTTGGATGGGGCAAGTGTATCTCCCATTCTGCAGCATAATCCTCTCTTTTTTAAGTATAGACATGCAGTGTCATTCACTATTTCTGCAATTCCCCAAGCCTCTAAGTGCTGCAGAAACAGAAGATCAACATGCTACTCTCTTTTCACAAGCACTTGATTTGGCTACCTGCCAAAATAAAGTTCATTCATTCATTCATTCATTCATTGAATCCTATCTGGCAAATTTGAGCTTTTTTGGGGGGGAGGGGGGCACAGGGAAATATGCAGTTTTTTAATCTACCTATATTTTCACTGTCCAAAAACAAAACAAAACAGAATGTTTCATTACTTCAGTTGCCCATATTTTCCTTCTATTTTTCAACTGTTACACTGGAGTGGCCATTAAATGCGTGAATATTTTGAAAGATTTGTAGCACTCTCAAGGACCTGCAGCAAATGCAGTACTGAGTCCTTCAAAAAGGGGATTAATGCCTCCCCTTTTGGTAGTTGAGTAGCTGAAGGGTCAGAGAAGTATAAGGCGGAAGGTACTGACAAGTGTCAGTTTAACACTTAAAACTGAGAAGATTACACTGCTAAGTGGGAGTAATGCTCTTTCCCCACTTCAGTGCACCTTCTTTTGCCACTTTTTCCTCTTTACTGGTGCTTTTCAATTGACAGTTTCTCTAACTGGTGCTTGCAAACAGTGTGCAAATTAACCTATATGTAGTCTCAACCTGTCAGTAACTGCTCCCTGAAACAGCCAAGAAAATTGAACAGGCAAGACTAGACATACTGGACCATCATAAAAGCACACCTGCAAAGGATGGCCAAATAACTTTTAAAAAATTAGAAATACAGTTGCACCATTTTCAGGGACCCAAAAATGCAATCCCAATTCTATTTTTTTTTTTTTTTTACTGAGGAGCAAAGGAAAAAGACAATGCAAAGATATAAAAATATGAGTTTTACTCTGATCAAGAGAATAGATGACGATAATGCTGATGAGTGTAAAAGTAATAGAGGGGAGGAGGGCTTGATAAGAAAAATGAGTAAATTCTACTTCTGTGTTTCAATGCCTTCTCAAACTCAACATGTTGAGTTTGAGAAGGCATTGAAACACAGAAGTAGAATTATGAGGCAGCTGGAAATGCAGGACTAGATGGTGCGGTGAAATTTATAAGAGGCAATAAACTCACTGTAACATCCTGGGCTACAAAACTGCAGCGACATTATGCCTGAACCTGAACACTTGCTGCTTCGATTCTTGCACTACTGTTTCATCCTCCACTCATATACGCTTCTTAGATCCTGGCCTGTCAGCCTATGCCAGGCGTGGGGAACTGTTTCAGGTGGGGCTGGGATGACATCAGGGGGTGAAGACACCCTTATAACATCTCCCAGGCCCAACACTGGCTGGACTTTCAACTGATGACTCAGCCAGAGACTGGCTTTGTTGAGCATGAGCTTTCCAAGATCAGGAAAAGAACAGACACAGCAGAACCCTTCCTGAATAAGTAGGAGACTGGAGGAACACTTTGGCCTCAGTTGGAGCCACCTCACCCACACTGTTCTACCCACCCTGCATCCTCTCCTAAGTGGAGAAGGCATCACGCAGACAAGTCCCCATGGAAGCCAGAGGCTGAAGGCTCCCCAACCTTGCCATCTGTTTTCATACCAACCCCTGTCATGGACAGGCCTTGAAGATCACAGCCCGCTCTGTTCCCCACTCCAGTATACTTACATGGGAACGCTACCTCTTCTGCCTTTTTCCCCTACTCTCCCACCCTCTACCCTTTGCACATTTGTGGTCGCTACAAGGACTCTACCAGTTTCCTTGTAGCTATGAGCAGCTGAAGTACAAAGCTGCTCAAGGGGAATGAGAAATTAGCTGAAATGGAGGCCAGATGTTGCCATGGTCTTCGCAATTTTCCTCCCTTCATAACAATTCAACCCACACTCATTATTTGGATGTATAAAGCTGGAACTGTTTAGATCACTTATTTGCTAATATGTTTTCTGTCTGTAAGCCTGTAAATTTGTTATTTATGGATATTTTAGGTTATCTTGAATTTTCAAGCTTGGATGCATAAAATCAATCTCTAAGGAAGAGAGCAGAAGAATGACTGAGGGTTTAGAAGGAGATATGTGGGGAAAAGGGATGCAACCACTGAGCTTCAATAAGACAGATGCCAGTGTCCTCACAAAAGACAGAAAGAACAAATGAGATGCTAACATATGAATTATACATCATCTGAGCTGTATTTTTCTTGCAGAAAATGGTTACATTTCTAAACGTGTGTGATTTTTCACAGAATAGATCCAAGAGCCTCATGAGATATTTAACATGTCTAATTATAATGCACCCTCTAAGTTAGTAACATTTCAGAAATACAAGGGTTTGGCTCTCCCAAATATCCTCTACTTGAGAGCTGCTCATAATAGATAACCAGAATACCTGAGTCTCCCCATACTACAGACAATGAGAAACAAGCTCTGCAGTATCCATATATCCGTAGCAAGTGAGAGTTTAGAATAAGCTTATAAAGAGCAACTTGCCTAAAGAAGTGTGGCAAGTGCAACTTACTTACAGATGAAGAGGCAAAGAGAAATTCTTGTAAACGGCAAAAGAGTTGGTTCATTTTTATTTTCAAGGTGCCACTCACTACAGGAACATGAAAATCTGTTTGCTACTGATGAGGCTTGCAGGACACAATCAGCTATGATGGTTTATGATGATTTAGGCCATGGTGACTTAACATGTCGCCCAAACCCAGCATCCTTCCCAGGGAGACCCAGCCAAACATGCTTTCTGCCTGTACTTCAGCCGTGGTACATTGTAGCTGAAGAGTGGGGAAAGGGCACAGGTGGTCTCTGCCTGCTCATCTATGGTGCACCTCATGTTTTCCTCCTCCTTTTCTCCCCTTCCTCCAGGTTCCCTGTCCAATGCAGGAGAGGAGATGAGGAGCAAGACAACCCCCCTCCCCCCACTGTGCCAGATCTGTCAGGCACAGAGGAATGTTATCCAGGGGGTTAAGGTGTCATGCAATGCTGCCCACTGAGTCAGACTACTAGTCCCTATAGCCCAGGAGATTGACATTGACTAATACTGGCTTTCCAGGGTTCCATGCAGGTTTCTTTGCTCACCAAACTGAAGATGCAGAAACTTGAACAAAATGCCCTGCCACTGAGCTCTGGGTTGTCAGAAATTATGAAAGCTGCTCTGGGCTCCCTCACTCAAGGAACATCCTTCAAAAAGTACAGATTTGCTATTCACATGTTGCAATGTATATACATTTGCTAATATTCTGGTCCAAAAATAACCATTCAAGTCAGACCACTCCCAGATGGCTTACTTCAAACATACATGGATCTGTAGTTTATTTAAAACTCACTTCTTCGTATCTTTACACCTTGAAAATCTAAGAATTAATTCGGATCCCTTCTATTTGTAATTCCCTTCTATTTGTAATATTTCCTGTTCTGCTCTACACTTGAAACATCAGCAGACGTTTGATCAATATGAGTATTAACAATTGCATGCAGAATAAAAACAAGTTTATTTAGAAATGCAAGATACTTTCCAGTACTTACCAGAAGATTTTCTGGCTTGAGATCTCTGTGAACAATGTTCTTGCTGTGAATATAAACCAGAGCTTCACACAGATCAGTTATCATGAGCGCTGCATCATGTTCTGTGAATTTCACACTCTCTATTATGGCATCAAACAAGTCGCCATCAGGAACATATTCCATAATTAGATAGATTTCTGCATCTGTTTCAAAAACTTCAATCAAGCTTACAATGTTGGGGTGAGAGAGTCTCTTAATGATCAAGATTTCATTTTGCAGCATATCTTCTTTTCCTTTCAGCTTGGACTTGTCAATGATTTTCATCGCATACCTCCGATTGGTGCTGCGGTGATGACACTCTTTCACAACAGCAAAATTTCCATCTCCAATGGTTCGCCCAATTTCATAGCATTTCTCAACATCTGCTGTGCTAGAGAGCTCGTGTCTTGGCTTTGTATCACTGGTCCTACATTTCTTGGTTCCCTCCTTGATAACTTTAGGTTCATCTTCCTTTTCCTGCCTGATCAGTTCATTTTCACCATGCCCCACTTTCTCTTCCCCTCCAACAGTTTCCTCTTTTGATTTCCGTAACTCTTCTCTCTTTCCTTGAACTTTGGATGGTTTCTCTGCATCCATTTGAGAACCCTTGATCAGCCAACAGCTTTGATTCACTCTAGAACATTTTCTGTGTTCCTTCCTTAGTTCATAGGCATCTCCTACTATGGTACGCTGACTTTCTATGGGCTTCATCTTTATCTTTCCTAATTCTTCAGCATGATTGTCATGCTTTTCCAGAGTCTGCTCTCTGTCAATGCTCCTCTTTCGCTCCCCAGGATTTTTATCAACAGGGATTTGTGAGGTTGTCCAGGAATTTTGACAGCAAGCATCACTCCATGTAATCTGGGCTTTTTCTGCTACATTTTCTGACAATTTCCTGCAATTTCTCAATTTGGCAGGCCTTTCTACATTATATTTCTGACATGTTCTCATATTCAAATCTCTGCTCTCAACTGGAAAATCAGCTCGTCTTTCCTTCTGTAGTTTCTGCATGAGTTGTCTCTCCCTTTGGCACTTCTCACATCTGACAATGACATCAGAACTCTTTTCTGTTTCACTCTCAGGACATTTCTCTTGGTTAAAATATCTCTCAGTTTCTCTAGGTTTTCTGGGCTTTTCATCTTTCTCTCCATTCCAGTTGTCTCTGAGCCATTTGTTTTTGGCCCTGGCCTTTTCCTCTTGTCTGACCTTGGCATGAGCCTTTATGTCATGTCTGTTAATTAGCTTAGGAGATACAACATCCATGCAGTTCTTCGTGGTTTGAAGCTCTAGGCTGTTTTCTGCTTTGGAAGTCTTTTCATATGGCCTGTTTTTGGGTTTCTCAGGTTGATTCCAGTTCTGTGTTGTTCCAGTAAGAGGAGCATAGGGGTTATCAGGGTAAAGTTCTTGGAGAGCTACTTCAAGGTTCTTCAGAGTTAGCTGTTCCTTTCCCATAGCTATAAATGCATCACCCTCTCTAAAGAAATCAGAAACACTTCGGATTTCCCTTCCCTTCAAATTATATAGTTTTCGCACACGGTCATTCTTCCAGCGTGGAAATCCCAGGGCTTCTGAGATGTCAGCAATCAGTTGTTCAAAGGTCTGAACAGAACGCCGATTTAGAAGCAATGTTATCTTCCGGACTGTGTGTCCACAAGGTTTTACTACAGTGACAATCCTTGGCTTTACTGGACTATTCTCAGAATGGATGGTGTGGAAACCAGTCCGGGAATTTATGAATGGGGAACTGAAACAGTTTGTACCAAAGAAGGACTTTCCAAAACTTCCACGCCCAACTGGTGGACAAGTACCTTGCAGTCGCCTTTCCATTATATTGGAGCTTATACAGTTTAAAGTGTGATCAAAAAATCCACGGGGTTCTACAGAAAAAGAAAGGAGGGTTATTTTATCTTACCATGACTTTTAGTGAACATTTTCTGCATGTTTCTCGGTACAGTACTCAGAAACAAAGTCACTCAGAACTAAGGAGCTTTGACTGTATCTGCATGTTTATCAACATGGTCCTACAGATCTGGAATTTCTGTTTGTCTGGTCTGGAATGCAGGTTTTCGGGAAAGAAGGGTTACTGACATGCACAGGTACAGGTTAAAAACAGACCCAGGGATCTTTGCATGCCACAGAAGCATATGCATACAGATGACATTTAAAATTAGTACTAGGGAAGCTGATGTTAGGGTTTTAGTTTCTGGCTGGCTTCCTATATGAATGTTCTACCACATTCATTTCCAAACTTGTTGGAGAACATTCTCCCTAGCCCAACGCACTATTTTCCAATAAAAGTTTCAACAAATAATACCCAACAAATAACGTACAGTAAAGGCTTTTGGATCAATTGTAGTTGTAAAACAGCAGAGGTGAGAAATGTTTTTATGATGGTAAACAGGTCCTGTCCTGTAAAAGCTCTCTCTTGCTATAACATACAATTATCCAGAAGTACCATACAAACATGTAACACTATGTCAAGGTATGCCACAATACAATTATTCTTTCTTAGGGAGGTTATTGCCGCGGAACAATATTCCATCACCATTTTGTGTGCCCCCTCATGAATTTCTTTGATTCAAATGCTACATATTTTCTGGCAAAGTGAGCTGACAGATAGGGACAAAGTGTACTTGAGGTTCTGGTTGAAACCCTCTTCGGTGGAAAAGGGCTGTCCAATTCCTTTACAACTTTCCTTGAAATTGTTAAATGTTCAACTTTAAATGATCTCTCTTCCCAAGCTAAGCAACACAGGACCCACTAACTGACTATGGAAAGATCTGGAGTAGACTACCCTCTGGATGTTTAGAACAACAGCTCTCACCCTTTCTGATCATTGGTCATGGCAGCCAAGGCTGATGGGTGCTTCACAGTACACAGGCCAAGTCTTTCCTCCTTACATTTTCTCCCTTTGGATTTACCTAGATACTAAGGTTCTCTCTGCCCTATCCCTGTGCCAAGGTAGAAAATAAAGAAAAAAAGATGCATCTCTCTTATGAGAATTAAAGTCTCTTGCTGAGTTTTTAATTACCACTGCATTTCCACCCTTTCAAATGCCAATGTGATCCCTGTAATGTTGACTACAGCATCATTAATGACCCCGGCTTGCTCTCCCCTCCCATCTATGGGACAGCTTCCACAGCCTACCAGTAAAGAGCCCTTTCTCACTCTTTCAAGACAACCCTTATTTCTGAAAATTCTTGGATCTCCTCTCCAGTGCTCCTCAGAATACCATATAAGGGCATTCTGCTATGTAAAGTATCAGAAATTACACATTATGTGTTCTGTGTGATTATATAAACATGCTAGCTTCTGAATGTGCATTAATAACGCCTTGCCTTGGTCTCGTTTCCTTCATAGTTTACTAGGCAAACAGAAGGCTTTCTGACAGCGGAACAGTTAGGGAGACAGTGGATAATGGTTCTCCTCACATGTGTGTGAAGTTCCCCCAGCCATTTATGTCTGAGAAAGGTCTTATTCTGTGATCACTGAGAAAACAGTGATTATGCGGATTAAGCCAACTTTTGTGCTCTCCTCTTTCACCCACATCAAGAAGCTCTTTAGTTCCTCTTCACTTTCTGCCATTAGAGTGGTATCGTCTCCATATCTGAGGTTGTTATTTTTCCTGGCAATCTTAATTCCAACTTGTGATTCATCTAGCCCTACCTTTCGCATGATGTGCTCTGCATATAAGTTAAATAGGAAGGGTAACAGTATGCAGCCTTGCTGAACTCCTTTCTCAATTTTGAACCAATCAGTGGTTCCATGTCCAGTTCTCACTGTTGCTTCTTGACCCACACACAAGTTTCTCAAGAGACAAATAAGATGGCCTGGGGTACCTGCATACAGTGTCCAATGCCTTTTTTAAGCAAATTGGAGAGAGGCAACCCTTGAGGTTGACTTATTTTTTTCAAGAAGCCACACTAACATGTTAAGGAAATATATTTCTCCCCATGGAAAGAAAGAATTCAAATAAAGATGTACTCCCTAAACTAAAAGAGGAACAGAATTGAAACTCTTCTAAAACAGAAGGCAGCATGTTTTCAGATTTCAAAGAATGTTAGGTACATCTGCAGCTGTGGGTTTCCTGAACACACAGCCGGACTAATATTGCATCCTTCTGTATAGAAACAGTGTAAACAAAGGAGATAAAACTATTTTCTTGCCACAGCGTGAAGCTGTTGCTGCATCAAAAATGTAACTTTACAATGCAAAGTCATTTTGGCCTTTTATTTATATGGCTATGAATGAACCCAGTATTGTTTGATCAGCCAGTAAAAATTTGTATCAGGGTAAAAAGAATCCTATACCCCATTTAACCAGTCAAGATAAAGAAGTTTAGGGGCTCTATGTATGCTATATTTCTACAGAAGTGCAGTGAACCCTTATTTAAAAATGAAAGTTTCTATCTCTTTGTATAACTGTGCTTTGAAATAGTGTGCCTAGTAGGTAAAGAAATTATAAGTTTGCTGGGGAAGTTTTCCAGTGATTGTGGGGGCTACAGCACCATTTATAGATCATTGTCCCTACATATGACAAACAAAATAAACTATGTAAACCATCAACACTACTGAACAGATTATGCAGAATTAGAAAGAATACAAAGATTAATCTAATATATATGATGTATAGCAGTTGCAAAATTTGGCTTCTCTTATCAATTCATCTAGTCTAAATGTGAATATATTTTGATTTTTGTTTTTGTATTTCGTGTTGAATTCACATGGGCTTAAGAAAAGTTTGAGAAAATGGTTTTTGAACTAGGAACACAGTTGCTATGAAGCATGCAAGAAGCTTCCTCCTTATTCCGCTTACCTCTGTTTAAGGTTGTGACTCACAAGATGTCCAACTCATTCCCTGAAAATATATGAGTATGTGTCCCATCAAGACAAAAATACTTTCAGCATGGAGAGAATGATTGCATGGAGTAGAGGACATGACTCAGCAGCCGGCTCCACTCCAAACCATGCCTGTTCATTTAAATGGTTGAAGAGATCTCACAAGTAATAGGGAAAATGGACCTCTCTTCCCAGTTGGAAGCTCGCATTTTGCAAAATCCCCAAATACACAGAGGTCCCTGCATGTACAGTCTTTCTTTGACCATTAAAAGGAACACTTTGGGTTTGGCATCTAGCCTACATGTTCATGCTACCCATAGTATTCTTCTGAAAGGGCTATATATTAAGCCAAACCAAAAGAAGAAAAAATGAGTTCATTTAGACTTGTGCAAAACAATTTCCAGTGAAGAGTATTTCTGTAAAACATGGGAAGGCATATGCCTTAAACAGAGACGTCTTTAAAAGAATTCCCTTTATGACTCTCTCGACTCACCTGCTACTTCTGTTTGGAAAGATACAAAGACACCAATACAAGTACTGGGGTATTAGGAAAACTATAATAAACAAAATATGGCACTTAGTTTTTAAAACAAGGAAGTTAGTTCTTCATAGTCTTTCTCCTAAACTCATAGGTGGGGTGAGAGGCTTAATAAGAGAGGACAGCATTTTATTTGTTAGATTTCTATTAGTAACCCCGTTTCAAGTGCAGGAGAGTAGAATATTTTCACACACATCACTCACCAGGCCTTGGAAAGAATAATGCTGATAATAATATTTGAAGTTACATTATCAGTGATCCATAATTTACTAAATGGTTATGCCAAAGACTTCTCATTGGCCAATTTGCAGGCCTAAGGAAGAGTAAATGACAAGTAGGTTGGATTTTAATCCCTAGTTTGAGATAGTGAATTAATCTGGACAGTACTAAAATTACATGAGATAAAAGATTCTCATGCATGCAGTGATTTCCAAGTCTGCTATGAGTATGCATAATGGCGAACAACCCATCTTACATATGCCTGCCTCAACTGAGTGCTGTTCTGGGCAGGCCTTTATATGCCATTGATTCCTTATGTAACAGGGTTTTGCAATGCACAAATAGCCATTATCTGTAGGATGTAACTTGAATCTTTAAGAACTGTATTGACTTCAGTCTTCTATTCCTTAAAGTAAATTATTCACAGTGGCAACTTGCAAGGCCAATGTACACGGTGCGTGCACAAGTCTGTACAAAAAGGAGGAGGGAAGAGAAGGCAGGACAGTAAACAAGAAGTGTATTAAATTAATTAGATGGAAACAAAACATGATCACAGGCATCCTTTAACAGTAAGTGAATTTTACTTTGGCATTGTTTACATACATGTTAGAAACAGAAACCTGCTTTCTTACTTAAGTGAAAACACACCAGCAATGAGAGCTTCAAAATCTAGCAAGATGCACTCAGGAAAAATTGAGAATACACTTTTATGTAGCCTTCTTCACGTGTGCTTCAGATCTATTTCACTACAGCTCCCATCCAGCATTGGAGTATGAGAGAAAAATCTTAAATGCGCCTTTCTTAATTTCTCATGCTTGGCAAGAAAGTTGACACATGAAAACAGATGGTGTAGGAACATGCAAAATCAAAGAGCTGAGTTAGATACTAGCAACACATCTTCAGTTATTCATTATAATACTATGTAAGAAATAACAATAGGGATTGAAATAGACTGAGGATGAGGCTGCAGGCTGAATCCTTTCAAGGTGTGAACAGAGAGAAGACATGCCAAGGTGTATGACGATTAACCAGGAAGGTAGGGATCCATGAGAAAATATCTTTAGTTATGATGTAAACTATAAAATCATTGTTCTATTATTGATCAGGGCTGTCCCCTGGAGTTCAGCCTACACACATGGGTATAAACAGTATTGGCCTTCATGCTGTATTCTTAATATATATTGCTGGTTTCCTTTTGTAAATCTATTTGGCCTGTTTCCTGAAGGATCTGACAGCAGTCATATTAGGGATTGTAACCTAACGCATATGGAGGGCAACAGGT